ATTTGATGGAAATAACTCAAGACTTCCGGATGATCAAATTGTAAACCGGAGCAGGCAACCGTAGTAAACAGAACCCTTCGGCATGTTCAATCTTTCCTGAGGTGGTTCAACGGAACAGTTAGCTAGTCATGAAAAGCAATCCACTACACATTTCGTTCCGTTTGTGACTCACCAAGTGGATGCAGAACTGTCTTTCACATGTCTTTTTGGCTAACCGTTTTCTTCGTTAAACGCAAAGCAACGGAACCAGTAACCACATTCGCAAGTGTGGTGAATTTATTGGCTCGATTTGGCTCAGTCGTTAAGACCCCCTTACTGGTCGGAGGGTTTGTGGTTCGAACCCGACCTTGGTATATCGGCTGCTCCTGTTCTGAGTTGAGCAACCTGGTGGCATATTATCCCTAATAATTCTTTCGACTGGTATGGAATCTGAACGGCTATTGTTACTTACCATTACTGGCTTAGTTTTTATGTTGTTGATGGCGCAACACTTAGTAGACCGCTTTTCATGACTAACGACATTATTCTTTATATCCAGTTGACATTTTAAAGTCCAAATCTCAGGGAAATTGTGATTGTTAGGTGTCCTAGATTTTTCCAGTTGAGAGAAACATTTGACTGCTTTCAAGTGCCCAAATCTCGTGACAAATTTCAATGCATGAACTAAGCCAAGATATCGATCTAATTCCAATGTGCCCCAACAAAAGCAGAACATAAAAATTAGACTGTTTTGTCCAGATTTCTTTATTCCGTTAGGGGATTCGAAGAAACAAACAAAAGTGGTCATTTTAGAATTTTTTGGAGAAGAAATAACAGAACTTTAGATTTTCAAATGAACTTCATCATTTATCAAAGATTATACAAGTGTATGCTATGTATCAGAGAGCGCAAAGCTATTATCTTAGCGGTAGTTATAGAATTTGTAATGATAGTAAGAAATTCAACAGAAGGTACCAAGTCAGAATGGTAGTTTTCTCTCTCTAGAAGTGACTTTTTGACGTTGACGCTGGATGCTGGCGGGCCATAAACTTTGACCTAAACTTTTCAGAGATGCTCCGCTAAGCAAATGAGCCAAATTCTCTCTCTCTCTCTCTCACTGTGCCAGAGGAACTTCAAGGTTTATAGCTTAAGACCCCTGTTCAGGCTTAAATAGTAGGAAATGCTTCCTGAAGATCATGTGACAGTTATTGGATACAAATCAGGGTTGATCAGTGTTAAAAGAAAGTGAGGAGATCATAAGAAACCAAAATAACAACTTTCGGTGACCCGACGACATCCAAAACACTAAGTCTCTGCATGTCACCAGTTATTGTGTTCTCGATCTCTGGTTGGTGGGACTGGTCTAATTGAGATTAGTGTACCCTTGGAGGTAAACGCCCTAGTTGATGAGCATTTAAGCAAACACGGAAAAAGCTTGGTTCTTGTATACTATCAATCCCATCAGCATTATTGTTTATTATCTGCTGAACACTGTCTCATGGTGGGGTGTGCACAGACTCAGCGTCCTACTGCTTTTTCCGTGTGTGTCTGTTCCTATTGGGTCCAAGGGAAACGGCGCCTTGTTCGGGTGATTGATTGCCGCTGAACTAACGATGTCAGGGAAGCGGGAATAGAGATGGATTTTGAGGCATACATTGAAATGGATGTCAACAAGTTACGGGCGTATTGTTTGCGAACCGCAGAGTCATTGGTTTACGTGTCTTGTGGATGTGTCATCCCGTGTTTTGATAGACTGAAACATTCTTTTTCAGACGTTATGGGAACAGAACATCATGAGATAGTCAGTGGGTAGCGAGTAAACTCCGTCCAAGTTATGATCGATATTTAACCTTGTTATTACATTGCGATGCTTGTGGTAAACACAGTTCAGTGAGAAGAGTTATATGAGATATTCATATGGCAAATGTTCCAATGCGTTTCACACCCTCTGGTCTTTAGAGTGCATGCAGAGGATCCGATTTAACTTTGTCTAGTCTTCAATCCTCAGTCCACGGGACATTGGTTTTTCACACCTTTTCTATAGCCATTCTATGTCACTGGACCATTTTACCGCGCTTCCATGTTTGCCCAATTGTTTGAGTGATGGATGTTGGCACAGCTAAGCAGAGTGTGCATAAAATTGCAACAGTCTGTGGCTACTGTTCACGATGGCTGAAACTTCGACCTCCTCTGGCGTTTCTCTACGGAAGCCGGAAATTTGTGAAGTGATGTTCATAATACGGCTTTGTTGCACGTGATTGACACAATATCACATGAAAAGGCTTTCATGGGATGCTACTGATACAAGTTTTAAACAGAATGATGTGAAATATTAACGAGGACCGTATCGAAAACAACATAATTTCAACCACAAAATCTGAAGAGTTAGAAGCACGGCTTTTTATCTAGCTGGGTTGGTCTTAACTTGGACACGAAGATCTGGAAAATATCAGAAAGTTAGTTCCGGATTCTGTTGAAACCGTGGAGGAAATTCTCCCACGACACTAGAAACGTTTGGTTCAGAGTAACAAAGGCTCTGCTACATAGACATACTCAAAACTTTCAAGGTGACCTAACCCATTATGGTCAGGCCATATATACTTATGTGAGAGGATTCTGACTGATTTTTTTAACTGCTTGCAGAATTCTCTTGGTAAGCTTTCAAGAAACTAGTGGAACATATCCTAAATTTTCTTAGAAACAAAAACGGTTTGTTTGTTTAGTGCACCACTCATATGCAAACTGGAATTATGATGGAATCTGAATGTACCTCTTGATAGCCTCAACTCAATTCGCAGGATAAAAGGCTACCACCAGTTCAACGTGCCCTGAGTCAATCAGTTGAACCGTCCTGTTTGAAGCGAACTGAGCAGGCCTAACCCGCAAAGCAAAATAGACTTGCACGTTGAGGTTTTGTCCATGTGGGATATGAATTAATGCTATTTTTCTGGGTCACTCCCAGATATTCCTTGACAGATGGTCGAAAATCGAAAACTTGGTATATGATTATCAGCTGAGTACCATCCTAAACGGAATAATGACAACTTGCACCTCTTGATAAGTTTTTAGGGTCAGACTATAAGTTATCTTTTTCTCCATTCACATAAATTTTGCGTTCAGCTGCCCCGATAGCGAATCGCTGACTGAACTGAATCAGGTGATGCAGTATTCAAGCAATGTTCACTACACACAACTGATATCAGCGGGTGTCCCTCTGGTCGGACTGTAATGATACCGCAGAATAATAAGATAATTGGAAAGCTTTGTTTAGCAAAACCTAGTCAATGATTTGGTCATAAAGGGACCTGAAGTTCATATACTCCCTAGTGAGAAGACAGATTTGGTCTGAGGACCAGGTATTCAAAAATAATGCCAGGTCAATCAGTTGTTAAGGAACTTTTATGTCAACTGATCTTTGATTATTCGTAGGAACGAATGGTTTGAGATGGAACAATTCTAGAGGGAACGGTCATCAGTCATTTTACTAACCCGCTCTGGTCAATGAGACTGGTAAAGATGGTGTCAGTATTTTTTAATGAGAACATGCTGTTCATAAAATTACACCATTTATGTGCGGAAAGAAATGCTGAACAGTGACCAGACGAACAAATGTCCATGATTGTCCTTTAAACAATTAATTAGTCGGTCAACTAAGAATCATCCAGTCAATCAACCAAACAATGAACTGATCAAACAAGCAAGGAATTGATCATTCGACCAGCCAGTAGATCGATAAAAAATGAAGGCAGATTTTTCCGTCATTTAAGCTATCTATCAACCAGCCAGAAAATCAGATATTCGAACATCTGTGTGATCAATCACTCATGCGTTCAGTTGACCAATAAGTGTGTAAATTTTGCCTTAACTATTGGAGGTTGATAATAACTTGATTTTGTCCTTCATGACTTTCAACAAGTTTTTTAATGATTTATTCGTCTGTTTGTTCATTTGTTCATCGGCTATGTATCTGTACGACTGGTGATGCTGCTGATCCATTCACCAAGATTGACAGTAAGCCTGCGTCTATAATTGGCCCAAATATACACAAGTTATATTCGGAAAACAAAGTAAACGAGGCTGGGCCATCCAATTTGATACATAGCATGTTTTAAGATCAGTCTTCTAAGTTTGGAAAGGATTCCTTTGAGACTGCTCGCGCGTTGATAACAGTCTCAAGCGAAAATTATAGCGAAAGGTGACATTCAGCGCATCCAGACCCACCTGCAATGCCAATCAGGACAGAAAGTACCGGGCAGCTTTGGAAATCGTAGTTTAACCTCATGGCCCCCAAATAGTCTGGGAATGTTTGGCAGGATTGGATATCATCATTACTTGTTCAGTCTACTGATGAGTTCACTTATGTAGTGCGGATTTCTTATCGGCTTTTGTAGATGTCAGGCAAAGTATCCATCATACCTTCAAGTGAAATGTTTTTGTGGAACCAGTGAGTTTTTTTATGTTGTTTTCCCAAGCGAAATGAGTACAGAACATCACTTTGGATATTAGTGGACGCTGTACTATCAACAAGACAGGATAGATGAACAGGCAACTTAGCAAGGCTGAAAGTGGGAGTCATATTATCCATTCCATTCCAGAAGCTAGCTTGGGATGGGAAAAGCTATAGGCTCAAAAAAGGTGGACGCGGGAACTGCGCCTACCTGATGAGCCCCAAGAAGGACTAAACCGGTCTTGGGCTGTCGACGAATTTTCAGCGACCTTATGAGTAGTGCATTACGAATATAAAGGTAGAAACACCTTGGAAAACCGGTTATGAAACTCTGCGCCAGTTAACGAGAGTTTCAGCAAGCTAAAGCAAATCTTATCATGAGTGAGATTCTCTTGAATAGAACTCGATAAGTGCGACGCGGACAAATTTTTCTGGAAATTCAGCACCTCTGAACAGTAGTTGAAACACAACTAACGGCGCGATTGGTTGTCCAGTCAATTCTTCTATGTCAGCTGCACACACTTTGATGCTTGGCGTCAGAGTGATTGTCTTTCATTCGAACTTCTCTCCACAGGGAGCCTTCCAACCTTATGTTGTTCACCACAATTGGTTATCACCCGCTGAGAGAAATTATGGCAATGCTCTAATGCACAGTTGGTCTAGCGTGCAACCAGAGCCGCAATGGTAACAACATCAGCATTGGCATTAGAAGTAGTCTCTTTGCAATTCTTCGACTGTGATACCGATAGAAATGGGGAATGTGTATGGACAACTTCAAATAATAACAATGACTGGCATTCCTGCTCGCATTGGCACCCATTCACGCACACACACACACACACACACATGCACCTTTGCAAAGCATGTAACTCCTATCCCCCTCTTCATGTGGGGGAAAGCACACAACGGGGACTATTGTCAAGTGCAGTCGCGCTTCGTCATCACCGTTGGGGCTAACGCCCATCATTCTGTCTTGTTCTCTTCACATTCGCCAGTCCGTCTGTTTAGTTGGTTAACAGCAAGATGACATTTCCCAAGCCGCAGCACATCCAATGACTGACAGCTGCTCTGGGCCCGTTGAACGAATATGCAGTCTGTAATCCACCGGTAAATTGGGATTGTATTTTCCATCTGACAACGTGTAAAAAGCGATAATGGGAGCTGCGCCGGTTTTTCCTGTGCCTGTAACTGGATCACGGTGGCAAATCGAACCTACGCTTCCGGGTTTGAGGTTCGGACTAACAATCCCGCGGTTTCATTCTTTTTTCTCATTTGTACAATTCGATTAGTATCAAAAAACACTCCAACTGCCACCTGAATCGTCTTGCATATGAGCTGCGGTCAGACTCACGTGACCACCCATAAATGCACTCAGAGTGAGGTTTTTGTTCCCTTCAGTGCTACGAGAGAATTCTCTCTGTGGTGACATTGTTTAGAAAGTTCAACCTTTGCAAAACCATGGATTTCTGCCCATTTACATTTCCACTCCCGGACAGTAAGGCATCATTTTCTCACATACAGGCATTCATTCACTGGTTACAGACCACTTAAGTATCTCTATCAAAGTGTTGCTTGAAGCTAAAAATTTGCAGACAACATCTAATCATGAGTGGCCGAGCCGTTTTGCTCAAGATTTCGCTCGATGAATCACAACTTGCAAATAAGAAAGTGCAGGAATGGAGGGTGAAGGGTTGTGTTTCTCTTGCTTCAGAGTGCGAGAAGTCGGTACTTATATCAAAATTTCCATTAGTTAGAACACGTAGCTCATCACGTTGGTGCCAGGAACAACAATAAAACGGTAGTATTCTTGGTATTCTCTGGAATGAGCTCGTTGAGGGAGGAAGAGATCTGACTCTGTGTGTTATCAGAACACTTAGAGATACAATGCGGTTTTTCTCAACGGTTGACCCATTTGTGAAAATTGAACGTACCGCCTATGCATAGTTGATAATTTTCCGAAACTGCTCCATATGCACTTGTAACGAGAAGTTATCCTAGTTTCCACTGACCAAGGAAGTGGTCGCAAATGGACGCAAGTATGCTTTATCCGAGGTGATTCATTGTCGCTCCTCCCCCTTCTTGTCACTGTGACTCATTAAACTGTCTTCCTCGCTGGTTGAAATGCATCTTGCACCAGACACGCACCATCGTGATTTTGTAAACTTGGCTAAAATAGGGGACCATACAACGTGCTGTACGGGGCAAGTCGCACATGTGCACACGTGCGTACGCGAGCCATCCGATACAAATACCTCCGCATCTGTTGACGTTGTAACGCGCCGCGGGTTCTGTCTTGGACCATATGTTTGGGAAAAATGTGAGTTGAAACTCCAGTTTTCCCACAAACTTGGCTGCCCACCCGGTGGGGTGGAACTGATTGTGGGTCCACATGGTCGGACTGATCCAGCCATATGGAAGACGCGAACTGGTATGCGTTCGGGGCAAGTGAATGGTGGGTGTGGCGGGGGGCTGGATTTGGTAGATGCCAGTCATTTCTTATAGCTTTCCCAATTTTTAAGTGCACATTCTGCATTCACTTTTCGTACTTACTTGGTAAGGAAAAGATTTCCGAAACGGTTATGGAAGGAAGATGGTGCGACCGATTTTTGAGTCCATTTTGATGGAATATTAAAATAACAAGGAAAGGTTTGTTGCTAAAAATTATGACTCTAGCATCTAGTCAAAGTGTACTTTACACTTGCTAAGACGAATTTGCAGTGGGGCTAAAAAGGCTTTTTTGGACGATGTGGAATCATCGATGTTTATTCATATCGAAACACTCAAGATATACGTGCTCAGTTTTGGGTCTGTTTTTTTACCGGGCCTATTTTCAATGCCCTAGGAAATTGGAGTCATTCAAAACTACGGCCTGTAAAGAAAACGGCGAGCCACTCTGGTTCGCACTTCTTTGTTCTCTGGTTGTAGCGATTGAGATTCAATAAACTATAATTAATGAGCATTTACTGAGAAACTGCAGTAGCTTAACGGTTTTCTACCGATTCGTTATACTGTTGGGAACAAAGTCAGTTGTCAATTCACTATGCCTATAGGAAGTCTACTGGAAGAGAAAACAGACCAGTCCTTTTTTCTGATAAAAATATCAGTGTCTTAGACAATTCGCTTGACTTCAAAGTTCCCCTAACTGCTTTGGCCGGTGAAAGACTGCATCTGAAATTTTAGTGAATTCAACATGTGCCATCCTGCTGGGGTCAACTTAATGCACTTTACGATTCAGGAGGGGAGAACAACGATAAAACATATTTCTATGGTTATGATGCGGAAAAATCAAGTGCAAAGTTCACCTGGACATCATCAGACCAGCACACGAACTAGCTAGCTGGCCCAGATTATCGCATCAGGCAAACCACCACTTACAACCGACGGTACTTTCTGGTTAGAGGAGCCCGTACAAACACAGGAACAACGCTGGTCGGCTCACACCCTAACCCAATGCTTCAGTGCAGTGCAGTGGTGTTCGTCTGTGGCAAATCTGTCAGATTCAACAAATTATCACCCACCAAAATCAAGTTGCTCCCCAGCAGGTTGACTGCTGACGATGTGATCTTTTCTCTTGGTGACTGGCTGCACCTAGATATGGTAGGTTTGAGGTGGTTCACCGAAATGCCGCGGAGATTTTGGGACAAGTAAAACAAGCGAAAAGGCAACCATGGTACATCTTCGTTATAACGTCACCATCTACAAAGGGGTCGTAAGCAGAGGCCATGCTTCGAAAAGATCTCATGCTAAACATACCGACAAAAATGATGTAGACCAAACACTAGACAAGGAACCTTTTAACCATTTTATGTGAGGTTCTTTCGGCGGATAACTGTTTCTTGAGGGGTTTTTGCGTCGCAATCATGCGGCTATTCACAGATGTGTTAATGCCCCCGGCATCAGACCCTATTTGAACATCCTTTTGGATTTTGCATCGCATTACATCTCACAACTTCTCTGGTTAAATGTCTTAGTCTCAGTTGAAGTATACAAAGCACCCCTTTTTCTACCACGGAGTGCAATCTGAACACTTGACAATACTGGTTCATCAAGACTGCTCGGTTCAGCTGAGATGTCTCAAGACTTTCAACTTTACACATTCCTCGTCAGATCAGATTTTACTCAGCTGTCTACGGGTCAAACATTTTGTAGTGATTTGTTGCGTACGAACCCGTTATTTAGTGTACCAATAAGCGTTTAGGTAGTACGATGACCACGTGGCACAATTTTAGGTCTATTTTGGAGTCCAAAACCTAGCCGAGTTCTCACAATAGTTTTGTGAATTTCGTGTCAGTAACGCTGTCCTTGAGAAACTGTTCCACACAATGGGCGTGTTCATCCCCATGAAACACGCTGGGAAAATGGGAACGGACAAATAATAAATGGCAGATGTACAAACATCGAACCAGAATAGTAACCCTCATCACCACTCCCATTGTACTTGGGTCAGTGTGTTTATGGTCTAGATAACAAAAACACAATGTTACTGACTGGCTGAGGTGACCACATTTCAGTTACACTAAGGTTGTTTATTTTTAACCGTATACGCGTGCCCCAAGTAAACATGGTAGGCATTGTTGTGTCGTTTACTGGCCAACCATGTGTGCCATGATTACAATTCTACGATTCAAGATATTCCTGGTTTTGAAGAAATATTCAGTTGGTGGTCCCAAGTGGCTAGATCAAATCAGTGGGTAATCTATTGAAACAATATGTAGACTTGAGTGGCTGCAAGTATATCACCAAATTCAAAACCCAACATTCTCAGCTCATATTTTGAAAATTGCCTTCGGTCAACGCAATTTGGATGTCCAACTTGCCTCAATGGGCATTTCGTTTATAGCATATTCAGTGGACTAATCAGGCTTGTTCATTGCATGGAGTGCCATCGGGCCGGCAGTCGTTCTCCGAATTGCATGTCACATGGAATCTTTTCCATGGACAGTAGTTGGGCATAAGTATTATCAAACCTTTTCCCTTCTCATTTGAACACAGATTCGTTTTTAATATGAGACTTAGCTGAATCTACATGAATCTCTCTCATGAATCTCTCCCGAACTGAATTCGCTGCACCAGGACACCTCATGTTGCATATAGTACGATATTGCAGACATCGCAATACATTGCTGTCTAGACGTACCATAATTTTGACAGAGTCCAGGACTTGTAAAAGAGCTTTTAACAAACTCTTGGATGGTTTGTTAGGTCTCGATATTAACGCAAGTTGTTTGCGTTTAGCCTCATGCGCATCCACCCAAAATATTGCTAGCTCCGGTGCGTTTATCGGCTGTTGATCATTTGGTTGTTGGGCTTTTTTCCGAGTCTGGTAAATAGCATGCAAACTAATCGTCATCAAACGGGAAGGAGCAACCTTTAGAAGAATCTGCCCTCAACTCCAAGTTTACCAGATCCTCGAAATGTTCGAGGACATAGCTAGTAGAAATCAGAAAGGTTTGTCAGCTGCCTTGCAACGAACATAAATTCATTTTTACTGCTACCAAAAAGGTAGCACTACGAACCACCTGATATGTAGGTTTTGGTTGACGGAGCCTATTTCTCAGTGGCGCAATCGAAATCTGATGGAAACTGCCTTTATTAGACAAATTGAGTTAGTATGTTTACAAATAATACTACATTAATCTTTCTGAAA